CAAGTTGTAACTGTCAAACTGAAAATGTTTGGCAGACGTTTTCAAACTTTATCGTGTGTCTAGAAGAGAATCGGTTAAAACCAAATACAATTTGTTTTCCCTGCACCGCGCCACTGATCAACAGTAAGTACAACCAGCCCAGCTGGATATTTATTACCAGTTTTATTGCTGATTTAACGCTTAATTTACATTTAAAGGTTTCTTTAAGTAATTTTTTTTATAGAGTAAAGCAGTTTACCTACCTGAACAATGTCATTGCAATGAGCTTGCAAATTAAGAGATACTGACTTAGAGAAACAATCGATTTTTTGTTGAAATCTTCTAAACACTGCTCGCTTAGTAGAATATAACATCCAACCTGGGCTCTCGAAATTTATTTCTCATATAATAAGACTGAACATGCCGACAAACTAAATTTTGACGAAAAGATTAACAACCAAGAAAAAACTCTAAATGGCTGGAAAAGGAGGAAACTCACTCTACTGGGAAGAATAAACATAGTTAAAACTTTAGTTTTGTCTAAGTTTATTTACAATGCATCTGTACTCACTATCAACAAGCATTTTGTGAACGAAATCAACAGGATATCCCGCAATCTTATATGTGAAGGTAATCCAGCAAAAGTCAAAAGAAGTCCCATTATAAGGCAAAAAAAAACTTAACATGGAGGACTTAAAATGCTAGAATTCGCGATTATGGACAACGCGCTCAAAGTCGATCGCGTGGACCGAGCGGTTAAACGATACTCGCTTGGTAGAATATAACATTCAATCCTCAACCTCATCACAAACAATGTCGCCTTTGAGATCATCAAAGTTAATGTGACCCCACTCGTCAGAGCTGGCATCAATAAGCCTGACTCGAGCGTGTTTACCAATCAAGTCTTGGACGTACCAGCTCCTAAGAGTCATTGTCTCCCTACAGTCTCCAGTCTTCTGTCTGATAACCTAAAATACAAAGATGAATTCTCAGGTCACAAGCAAAGTAACTAAATTGAATTCCACTTGATCAGTATTTAATGTTGATGACCGTTCAGAATTCTTGAGTACATCAATCAATCAATCAACCAACCAACCAACCAATCAATCAATCAATCGATCAATCGATCGATGAATGAATGAATGAATGAATCAACCAATCAATAACTCTATTACAGGGTAGAAAATATCTAGACGAGAGTAAACTAGACCATGTACTAGCTGAGGACACTTAAAAAGAAATAAGTTACCTACACGGCAACCACACCCTATGATTTCTATTCTACTCATTAAGACTATAGTCTCTCATGAAGTGTTAAAGATATTCGAGAAGGGGCTTGAGGCGATCCAATGGCTTCTCACCACGTTGTCGAGCAGTAGCTCTGCGCGAACTACAGTCATATCACAGCCTCCACCGATGCGAAACGAGATCGTTCCACCAGTAATACGAAAGCGCGAGGATGTAAGAGTTCCTCTGGGTCCGTCCCCTTGAATGGCTCCTGCCTTTGCCGCTTTGGAAGGCCTGTTCTCGTATCCCCCTATCCACCAGTCTCCCTGGTGATTGGATGGCTCTCCTCTATTGCGGGCAGTAGGGTTGTCACCAAAAGTTGGTTGGTTATTAAACACTGTATCAGTCCTTTTCCAACCATCAATCCCACGCTCGAAGTCGAAGTTGCAAGCTGTACACACAGGAGAAAGAAGAGTGAGAGTAATGAGCATTTTTAGGTTTGATATGACTGTTCTATAATAAATAATAATTTATAATAATAATT